GGGATCAAGCTTGGGACCTTACACTTGTGAAGCAGGTGGTGGAACCACTGTGCTAATTCCGCAGCCCTTCTTCAGTTGCTTTCTTCAGGACTCTGTAATTTTCATTATGGAGATCTTTCACTCCTCGCTTAGGTTAATTCCTAAGTATTTAGGGGTTTGTTTGTTTTTTTTTAAATTTTAAGCTATTGGAAATAGGACTGCTCTCCTAGATTCTTTCTCAATGTATTCACAGTACAGGAATGCTGTTGATTTTTGTGTGTTGATGTTGTATCCTGGACACAGTCATTTCATGGCAATGGAAACACTCCTCAAGTCATGAAAGCTCTACAGCTATGAAGCCATGACTGAGATAATGATCAATCAGACCCTAGTCCTAGTTCTCAAATGGTGGCATCTTGGCTTGGTGGGAGGGCCAGCTTGATCCCCTTCCTTGTTAACCCTTCCCTCAAAGTCTGTCTCAAATCCCTACATTCTTCTCCACTTCCATTCTGTCTTAGTTACATTTCTCATTGTTGAGGCAAAATACCTGACACCACAAGTTAAAGGAGGAAAGGTTTATTTAGCTCACAGTATGTAGAGGATTCAGCCCATAGTGGGCTGGCTCTAAGGCCAGGTGGCAGAGGGAGGGGCATCACAGAAGAGAAACAATCCATGCATTTTAGTTACTTTTCTCTCACTGCTGAGACAAAATACCTGATACCCAAAGTTAAAGGAGGAAGGTTTATTCGGTTCAAAGTTTGTAGAGGTTTCAGTCCATAATCGGCTGGCTCCAAAGCAGGGTGGAAAAGAAGCAATAGTTCATGGCAGCAGAAGACAGCAAAGGCAACAAGGGACCTTCACAGTGTCCCCTCTGCCCCTTCCATCTTATTCAGACTACTTAGGGTGGGCAGCACTCACACCCTTAATCCTAGTGCCCTCGGGCTCAGCCCCACCATGAATCAATCACACACTCTAGATTCAGCTACCTTGGAAAAAGCATGAGGCTTTGGGGGGACATCCAACACAAGCCACAGCACCATGGCATGTCAGGGCAGACAGAAGGCAGCAAGTAGCAAGCGATGGCAGCAGCAGCAGCAGAAGCAGCAGCAGCCTCCCTTTCCCTTTTATCCCATACAGAGTTCCAGCCTTTTGGGTGGTGCCACCTACACCTGGAGTGGGCTTTCCCATTATTTACACCCAGAACTATGTGAAAAAAATCAGTGGATGAATTTAGTAATCACACACTTAATCTCAGTACTGCTCACCGTAGATTCAGCCACCTCTGAAAAACCCCACCTATGACTGCATGAAGTTGTGGGGGCAGATCTAGACACAAGCCATAACATATCCCTTAATCATGGAAGGGAATTTTAAATTTACTCTGAGGAGCTGGTTATGTTAGTCTATAAAATACACTGATAACAGGTGATTATAGGAAAAAGAACACATGGTATACATACCTAAGGCACTAAAGCATGGGAGAGAAGGCTTGAGTACTCAGGAAAAGGGAGGAGGTGCAGCCTCGGGAGGGTGTGGGGAGGATCTGATTAGCAAGCGGGGTTGTCATTATGCATATGCAGTTTTCCAGTAGCCAGCATCTATGTTAATATCTGCGGCAGCTGTGAGATGCCAACCTCTTCTTCCCAGAAAAAGGCCTTTCCTAGGGGGAAGGGGAAAATACAAGATAAATCCTCTGTATGCATGTGTTATTTACTTATATAGACACATTTACATTTCTTTTTATAATAGGACAACTTTTAGATCCCTTCTCTTACTGAGAGAGGTGTGAAGTTTCTCTAAATAATTAACTGGAGGAACATTTTGCTTTCCCCCTGTCACCACAGCATCCATAATCATCTCTTGTCTACTATTTGTAGGTGTGAGGAACAAAAGAGGAGTCCAAAATAACATGTTTTGCCAGTTATTAAATGAAGAAAACTTCATTTTACATACATATACAGCTTAATGAAAAGAATTCGTGTGTAATACATTTTTAATCATTTGTTGGCTCTCAAACGCAAAATGATCCCACAGAGCAATGACATTTTATGGTTACACATTGTGTACATACCTGGCCACCTGGCCTTCTGTTTCCAAAAAGAAGCTTACAGTATTTCTAGGTTTCATGGCCTATGCCCAATGATTTCAGAAATGTGAAATTTGTTAAAGATCCTCTCTCGTTGAGCTGAGATCTGATTTAGATTAGAACTCATCTTTCATAAATTTCTTTCATAAATTCCTCATATCATGAAAGCCCCTGAGGAAGCAGTGACCACCTGAAGGAAACAAGAAATAGTTTTGAAATAACGATGTGCTCAAGTAACCGCCAAGAAAAATGCTAATAAGCATATGCATGGTATAAATAAGGCAATAATACATCAGCTAGGGTTCAGTAGAGAAAAAGATTTAATACAAAACAGTGATTTATTAGGTAGGCTTACGATGGCCACGTATAGAACTGGGTGTGAAAAAGTCCAAAATGGCTGTCTGTGTGTGATGAAGGACCAGAAGGTTGGGTCAAAGGTCAAAGGCCTGGAGCTCACTGCAGAGTCCAGTGTGAGTCTGTGTCAGAAAGGTCGAAGTTGGAAGGCTGAAAGTCCCTTTTACCCTCCATTTTCTGTAGCTATCTCCTTGGCTTACTTATAAGCAGCTACTCCAGTCTGTCAGTTATTCTATCTTAACTAATATTTTCTCAACTTTGAAAATGCTTTCATTCACTCTCTTTCCCAACTGTTAACTACCCTTTCTTACCTGTTGTTTCTCATTTCAGCCTCTGTTTAGTTCTTTGTACTTACAAATTTTATCATTTCATTTTCACGTTTTCTTAAATTTATTTTACCTACTTACAGTGTAAGTTCTGTCAGAAACAGGAGTCAAATACTCTATCTTGGTTTTTTTTTTTGGTACCGGGGATCGAACTCGGGACCTTGCACTTTTGAGGCAGGTGGCGGCACCACTGAGCTAAATCCCCGGCCCTTCTCTCTTGCACATTCTTTTTACCCAGCTGCCTCTTCACTATCCCTAGTACATTTATTAAATAATAATTGCTGAAAAAAAGTTCTGGTGAATTAATGCAATGTAAAATACTTCTAGAAGTAAGATTACTGGGGAGGAGAAAGTACATCTATTTCGATGATACTGAAAGGATGGAGGAGAGGATAAATATACATCTATAGAGAGGTTTGCATCTTTGGGGCAGGAAGTTATCCCAAAGCTTTGATTCTTTCTCTGAACTAGGAAAATAAGCTCCCTGCCTAAAATTAATGCATTGATGATGGACCAGGAGGTATGAAGACAGCTACTGCAATTTGAATACTAGAAGGAATGCAGAGAATACTGGAGGAAATGTACAAGGAATGCAAAGTATTGGAGGGTCTCACTCTAGAATAACCTCAATTAGCAAAATTGACATATTTTCTCCAGCACTGCTCAGCAGTGTAGGCATTCAGGAGGAATCAGCTTCCTTGAAACAGTGTTTGAAGTTTGAAAAACAAATCAGAAGAAAGTTTAAAAGGGTTAGAAACTTGAAAGCAATAGTGACAATGAGTCAGGTGATCTAACGTATCTCTGATTGAGTGGATAAAGAAGTAAAGTCAAAAGCACGCTAATAGCTTATAACAAAAATGAGAGTGGAGGGAGTAAATGACTTCACGTAGCTGAGGAGTGGTTGTAGGACTCTCCATGTGAAACAGATTATGAAAAGACACAGTTAAGGATGGAGAAATAGGATAGACAGAGATGGATGGAAGTGATTCCACACATCCAATGAGTTGGGGAGAATGTGTAGGGTAGGATAAGACCTTATAAGCAGAATTCCCTCCAAGATCTTTCAAGACCCATTAGCATCTTAACTTCTTAAAGTGTGTCGTGTCTTGAAGGATGCTTCAAATATTTTATGGAATGTGTCATAACCCCAAGATTCGTTTGGTGGTAGTAAAACAAGGCCACTGTGATCTTACGAGTGATTCGTCAAGTCAACTTCACTTGAATAAGAAATGCCTAGCAGATTAGTACAGCTCTGGGCGTGTCTATGGGTGATTTTCAGGCTGCAAACTGAGGAGGGAAGACCCACCCAGATGTGGGTGGCATCAAGCAATAGGTTAGTAGCCTGGACAGAACAAAAGAGAAAGGAGAAAGGAATTTTCCTTTCTTCTCTTTTGAAGGAGCTCCAGCCTCTGCCGTTGCTGTTGGGCATTTATCTCCAGTTCCTTGACTCTGCAGTGAGCTCCAGGCCTTCAGTCTTTCACCCAATCCTTCAGCCCTCCGGAGCGCAGACGGCCATTTCGCACCCTTCCACCTCGGATTCCGCTGGTGTCCACTGGGACTCTTCAGCTTCTGATCCCGTAAGCCTACCTCGCAAATCCTTTATATAGTCATGTACGTACTTTTTATGTTAAATCTGCTCCTCTATGAGCCCTAACTAATACAGCCCCCTTAGGCGCCATTCGCAATCCATGTATCTCAACAGCTTCCACGTGACTCGGGGGAAAGTGAGATTGCAAAACCGATCGCGCCCGCTCAGAACATTATCTCCTCAGTGCTATTTCAAGACTGTGTTTAATCAGCCGGTCTCTGGGTCTGTGCTGCCTCCTCTGAAAACTGGATCTGACGGCTTAAACATTCCTCACCTCTACGCAGAACATACTAACAAGAATCATTTACATCTTTATGTTATTTACCTCAATCAACAAATGTTTATTAACAAAATGAAGCTGTGCCAGGTATGACTTTACAGTTACGCAGACTGGCAAAAGGACAAACCAGGACATAATTCTTAGCGGAATTAGAGCAGGCAGGTGACTATTAGATGACAACATTAAGCATAATAGCAAGTACATGTGCATAATGATTTATAAATCAAGTCACATAATTTAGCTTCTTTGTTCTCACAACAAAACCTGTGAGGTGTCTTTAGTCCTTATTTTACAGGTGAGAAAACTGTGCTTTCAAGATTTCAGTAACTTCTCTATATGTAGACACGTCGTTTTTCCCCGCCTTGATTTTGCAATAACTGTACTTTGAGGGGAAGTGTGTTATGTTGCTAGCGCAGCCTACTCATCAGGATGGTGCCAGGGGTAGGATCTCAGCCATGCTTAGTTGACCACTTCGTACTCCAAGAACGGAGAGATATATAGATGGGCCCAGAGGAGAGAGTGCATTTTCTACCCTAGCTCCACAAGGTGGCAGTGAGCCAGTGTGAGTAACTGTGGACACGCTCTGGCTTTACGTGGTGGAAGCAGGAAGGAGGAAAGAAGTAAAGCAACGCAATTGTTTTAGAGTTTAAAAAGGGTACATATATTCTTGCACACATGCTTGCTTGTGTATTTGTAGGGCAGAGGAAGTGAAGAAGTAACAGTGCTGTTACTGCACTCTGAATAGCTTTTCATATTTCTGGGGGGTTGAACTGCAGTGAAAGACAGATTTTGATATCTGACACATACTATACTGTGTTGTCTTATCCTACACCAGAAATCCCACCCTTGGATTCTATATTACCACAAGGCTATTTCACCATATTAAAGATGATTATTTCAACCATTGTAAAATTGGTTATTCTTTCAGGAGAAAAGCTCCCTGAGTTCAGTGCATTAATGACCATGGCTGTGCTTACAGTTTCTTTCTCCTCAAGCTTGGCACAATCTATTAGTTAGTAGAAAGAAAAACCAACTTTCAGTATCATGTTGTGAAGGAATTTTATATGCCCTGAATGATTGAAGGAATTCAGGACACTCGATGCTCTCCTGGTTTGTTAGTAATCAACACAGTGAATTTTGACCATTGGATAAGGAATCAGAGTTCCTGATAAGAGCACTCCATATCTGAAAAGATTTGTGGTCAAGCATGAAGACTTAGTACCCATCTTTTCCACGGAATGAGGTTTAGATGCCATGCTAAAGCTTCTGGGAGTTAATCCGAGGATCCCTATAGACTCCAAGGAAACCTTGGCCCCATCTACAGATCAAAATCCCCATCACAGTGAAGGGTACTCTACTCCAGCAGATTCCTTCTCCACTGGAGGCAGCTGCTTTTCCTCAGGCACTGGGGATAACTCAGGTCCTTTCTGTCCACACCTGGCCACAGTGAAGCGACTCATGTGAAGAGCTTCATCATAGCCTGGGAGGGTGTCCACCGAGGAGGGCGGCTGGCCGAGGGAGCTGTGGGAATGAGTCACCGCCAGAATTCTCCGAGCTGCAGAGCCAAACCTGGACTGCAGGGCTGCAGGGGAAGAAGGAGCAGAGCTGGCTTAAATGTGTTGTTTTCAGGTCTCAGACGGTTGACATCACACTAATCTCCTTTTATTTTTTAATAAATATCTGGCTCATTGTCACCTCTGCCACAAAGTGTATGAACTCCCAAGAGGCTTAAGTTTCTAAGCTTCAGGTTCTGCTAGAAGAGCTTGTCTTCTCCGGTGTCTTTAAATAATCTACGTTATGTCCCGTATCCCACAGACTTAGACCCCTGTACACCCACCTGCCGATACCGCAGACCCCAAGCTTTATTCCTTCTCTAAAATGCAGTGAGAAGAGGGAGGTAGGGAAGGTGAACAACAGCATGTCATATTGCTCTCCTTGCAAAATAAATATTAGAGTTTTGCTACCTGCTGTTCTACTTTGCATTTACAACCTGATTTTAGGAAAGAATACACAGTAATGTAAAATGTCTCATAATAACGATCAAATGGGTGTTGGGGCAAAAAACTGAGTATACCAAGACTTGAAGGACACAGAACTCAAAGTGCAAACTAATTTCCTTAAAAACATAAAACAAAAGAAATGCAGGTTTTCACGGAATTTAAGACATCTTGAAAGATGTGTTCAGCATTTGAAAATAGATTATAAAGCTATTTATGAACTTCTAAATAAATTTAGTTTGTGAGAATGATTTATAAGACAGCTAATAGGAAGTAGAGAGAGAAATCTTTCTCTAACAGGAAGTAGATCAAGAGATGGAGGGGGAGAGAAGAAGAGGAGGGAAAGGGAAGAAGAAAGGAATGAAGATGTGTTACGAACATGTACTGAGCCCACACAGGCAATGTAAATGCTATGTCCTGCAGACATGGACTACTAATGAAAAACACAAACAAAACAAAAAAACTATAAACTGTGATTCTCCCTATGCAATGTCTCCAACTTTGTCTCTAGCGTTTCATTTCCTTCTTCATACTATCAGCAGCCAGACCAACATTGGAGAATACAGCACCAGTGAGAGCCCCGCTCAGCACCCCACTGGTCTTCTAGAAATTAAAATTGCTTTGAGTCCTAGAACCTGAAAGTTATTTGATCAGTGCTGCTATATCTATGTGGTCTCCTAATTGTTCATTTAACCGAGGTCTCTTGGCCACATCAGCGTAGTGTACTCACAAGTGATAGTGTTCTGGAGAGTGCTGTCATGGTCAAAAGCAATGACGGTCACTTCGTAGGGTGGCTGACTTTCATCTGCCCCAGTTTGCTGGCGAACCAGACAGCAGCGGAAGCACACCGAAGTCAGGCCGCAGAGCAGAAGCAGGACACCAACTACCACCAGCAACCTGCAAGAGCCGGGAGGGTGGGCACACTTGGAGACCTGGCTTGTTTCAGCTCTGGCATGGTCAGTTTTGAATGCCTGCCTTTTGATTCTTGTTGACATTTTATATAATCATGATAAGATTCCAATTCACATATACTTCTTTATTTGTTAGCAGGACTAAGTTAGCTGATTAGAACAAATAAGATATGTAGCTGCTTTTTTCTCCACAGAAGTAAACTTTGCAGAGATATTTCTTGAGCAGATCCCAAAAGGGCACAACAATCTTTTGATCTCGGTGGAAGAGATTGTATTCAAATAGGATACCCTGGCTTATTATCTCATAGGCTAATGACTAAGTGAAGTAACTCTACTGTATGAGATACTAAGTAGGCAGGCTGTCTCAAACTTCATCTTCCCGATCTATCTATCCATCTATATATCATATACACATATATAGTTAGTGACCTTGTAAAGTGAAATATCTTTGTGGGTATTGCAACCAAAACTTACCATATATACCACAGATGTACCCAATCTGTGGTCAGGCAGCTATGGAGAAAAAAAATAAAGTTTATTACATTAAAAATCACAAATATGAGTTATAATATAACCTGATGCCATTATGATAAAAGCAACTAAGGTTATAATTTTTCAAGTTCTAGGTAATGAGCTAATTCTACTGTGAAATGGTGTAAATGGTATTTTATACCATATATGACATTGTGCAAATTATTCTGTAAATCACTACAAAACACAGTAATAGTGACCATAAACAGTGTCAATGGAAAATGGATCTACAACTGTTGTAAACAGGTATGAAGAAAATTGCCAAAAAATAATTTGGAATATATTTATAAAGAGTGAATTGGAAAATGGATATGAATGTTAAGGTTTATATATATTTGAGGTCAATAGAATGTAAACATAAAGGAAATTTCAGTTAAAAGCATGAAAGCAATCAAGTTAGTAATTTATGTTTCACAAGCTCTTGCAACAGTTACCACGAAAAGGGATCTAAATGGTTACATCCCTAATAGCCGTATTCACTGAGGCCAAACAGGGGAAAAGGTTTCCCTATGATGAAAGCTAGCTAAATATTCTGAATTAACTGTGGCAAATGTGAACTTCCTCTGTAGAGGTGAAAAAAATGAGTATTGTATGGGAGAAGCAGTGTAAGACCAGGAATAAGAGAGAGGGGAAAAGCAAAGTATTTGTATGTCTTTGTAGATTAGTAACTTCTGTTCTTTAATCATACTTTGTAATACATTCACCTATGGAAATCTATTTCTAGATCCCCTTTTGACTACACATTTATAGAAAACAGTTTGTTTCTTTCTACTGAACCTTTTATACTTTTGGCTTTTTCAAATTCATCATGTGTTCAAAGCCCTTTTAGCTATACAGTATATTCTGATTCTGATAGAAAAGACTTTTTCTATAGGGTTAGATGTCTAAAGCCTCAGGCAGTATCAAGTTGCCACGCTCCAACGTGCATGCGTGCGATAAGTAATCAAGGTAGTCACCATTTGATTTCCTTCAGCCTGAACAAATCTTTTTTCTCCTTTCATTTCCTTCTTTCCTTCCTTCCTCCCTTTTTTTTTCTTTCAGTACTGTGGGTTAAAACCAGGCCTGGTGCATAAATGTTTATCTTTATGTTCCCTATCACTGCCTGAGACTCACTCCTGACAGTGTGAGTTTATAGACTAACTCCCTCAAAGTGATAGATAAACGAATTCTCCAATAAATCTTAACTGCTCTAAAAACCCAGAAATTTCTGTGCTGATATGAAATCAGGATTTCACTTCAGAAATCACCCAAGGAGATAAGCCAGTGACTAGATAATGAATCCTGTCTGCTGGATGAGTCACAGGGATGTATGGCTAAGAATGCCTTTTGCAAGTCTCCATGACTATAAAAATTGAGATGAATTGTGCTGCTTTGATGGGAAAACTGGCTTTGGAAAAAATGTTGTCAGCAGTGCTATTTTGAGTGCACAGAATGACACATGTATGTCTGTGATAGTAGGCGGATGCCCATTTAAATAGAGATAAAGGGAAGTTGCAGAGAGCTAATGACATTCTGACCTGTGTTTGGATATTGATGTTCTGCCTGTGCTTCCTTTCTCCCAGTTCAGACTCTCAGATACTTACTGTTCAGGACTGACACAACTCTCTTCACATCTTGCTCCAGGAAGCTGTAGGAAGGGAAACAGTCTCAGACAGGGAAATCATCTTGCCTACTATGCTCGGCCGCCTAGCAATCGTCTCCCCTGACTGTGGTGTGTTAGACACACTGATAAGGATGAGGGCATGTTTGTAAGGTCAGGCACACGTAGGATGTAGGAGGGACATGGACATAGGACGGTGACTTCTGACTCTTAATCAATCCCCTGCCTGCTGACTGGAGGTGGAGAACTTGGAATAGATATTTATCTCACCTGATTTCCGTTTGTTCTTTTGTTTTGTTTTGATTTTTAGTAGTGAATAAGGGTTCCTGCTTGTGAATGAAGAGCTGCCATTTATGTCAATTTGTTTACCCTAGAAATTTCCTGACCTGTCCTTCAGGGTGTTTTGGTGGTCCTCGTTCCTGCCCAGTTGTGAAATGCATTTTTCCTCGCTGTCCTTTTTCATGCCCTCAATACACCAATACCTCACCACACAAGACAAAAAGGGGAACGGGGGTGCTGAATAGATCACCCATGCTAATCAGACTATTGATTTCTAATATTGCATAACATTTCTTTGCAATAACTCTGTAGAAGGGCATCTTTAACCTTATTTTGAAGGGTAAAAGAACTAAGGCGCAGGGTTGTTAAGTAAAGCGATTAACTACACACACCCATGGATGTAGTCAGAATTCAGATCTGACTCTATCATCACGAATATGTATTGAATGAATTAATATAGCTACTGACAAGTTTGGTCTTACAACTCCTCCATGGTGCTGCCTTCCCTTTTGTTCCTCATAAACAACAGCAATAAAGCAAAATCAAAAATCCTTCCACTCCTTCTGTCTTAGATCTCAGACGACTTCCTCCTTGAAAGACCCTTTACAGGCAAATTTGTTCACAGAAGCTGCTTCTGTCTTCCAAAAATGTAAATGACCTGATAGTTCAGGAAAACAACAGAGGCTTTTATGATAGGTGGAACTGAAGGAGGACAGGGACCTGCATATTCAAGATACATCAGGTACAAAGAGACCCTGAAAGCACTGGGAGCCACCCTGTGCAGGTGACCCTGGAGAAGCTCCTGGTCATTGCTTTTCTTTTCACTGACAAGTGATTGCCCAGAGAAATGCCCAAGAATTTGTTTCCTCAGGCCAAGCCTGCTCCTTTGCTTCCCTTTCTTCATAAAGTAAAAAGAAATCTAAAGTTCTCAGCAGGTGATGTGCCACCTCTCAGGGTTGTTGCAGAGAGACGAAAAGAAAACTGAATGGAAGAGAAGGAAAAGGAAGAGAAATGGAAGCTAGAAAAAAATGCAAGAAAAATAAAAAGACTTTTGGATATTGGTTAGTTGATGTCTAGCAAGCAAAGCAACCGGCTTGCTCTGAACTGCAATGTGATACAATCCAGGTTGCGCACTTGCTGCCCATCTGGCTAGATCTTATAACTACATGCTAGTCAATCCCAGTGATTGCCCAGAATCCTTCAGTCTGACGACCCCTCTGCCCACCAACAGATTCCTCACAGACCACTGATTCATAGTGGGGAGAAATAAAAGATTTAAAATATTTTTAAAGAGTCTCCCTCATTCATGCTCATCCCCACCTCCCATACTGGAGATTGAACCTAGAGCTTCACGCTGAACTACTTCACCTGTCCCTTTTTCATTTGAGACAGGGTCTAAGTGCCCAGGCTAGGGCCAAACTAGGGGTCCTCCTTGCCTAGGCCTCCCAGGGAAGTCCTCCCTCTTATTTCTGGAATGGAGGCACCTAAACTGCTAGAGTAACATTAGAGCTGATGCAGGAAATTCCATTTAGGGGAATTATGTGTAAATGATCCCAAATTCTGTGTAAATTGTAAATTTTCCCAATTTACTTGAGATTTTGAATGATGGTGATAATATACTAAATAAGAGAAATGTACGTCATTTCTAAAATGCTATAACTATCCTACAAGTGTCTATGGTTGTGTGTGTGTGCATGCACGCATGTGTGTATGTGCATGTGTGTGTGTTACTTGGGATTGAACCCAGGGCCCTCGCACTGAGCTGCTTCCCAAGTTCTTTTTATTTTTTTTACTTTGATATAAGCTTTCACTAAATTGCCCAGGCTGGACTCCAATTTATGAACCTCCTGCCTCAGCCTCCCAGAGTGCTGGGATTACAGGGGTGCACCACCATGCCCGGCTTACTGTAATCTGTCTCCCTGTTCATGAGCCTTAATATTAGTCACATATGGATCTGTGTAGCCCCACAATACTAGGAGATCATGCCACTTCTCCCTTTCCCCACTATGTCCTAGATTCTGTACTTGTCTTTTTACCTCATCCATTTTCTACAAGATTCTTCTGAGAGCTGATTGATCTGAAAAAAATATGCCTTCTCCCTCCTGCCTGTTCACAGCTGAACTCACCTGGGTGAAGCAAGCCAGGCCAGAGGCCATCAGGACACGGGTGGGGACCCCCATCTGGCTGGACTCCTGCTCCTCCATTACACAGTGGGAATCCGCTGCCTCTTTCCCATCCTCCTCCGCACGCTTGACTTCTTGGTCTAAAGCTCTTAAAAGAGAAATGTTTCTCAGCAATAAATCAGTTTTTCCTTCTATCTCCTCTTGCTCCCTCTGAGTTTTGATTTTGAGGGTACCTCTCTTTTCTCCTGGGTTCCCTCTCTACTTCTGTTTCTGATTTTATTGACTCTGCATTTGTTTCCTTTTGCCTTCTTCCATCCTGCTGTTAAGCCTTTCTGTGTTTTCAGTTTTCTTCCCCTGGCTGCTCTCAGTAGGAAAACATTCAAGGAAGATCCATTTGACCCTTAAGTTAGATGGTTTGCTAATCATTGGTGAGAAGCTTGGCTCTGAGGAAGGTCCAAGGCAGACTGGTGATGCCAGATGTTCTGGTCTTCATCAGAAAGCAGGTAGTGCTTCTTGGTCCCTTATCACAGTCTACCAGGGTGACTGTTGAAAGTTGAAAGTCACCCTGCCAATTTCCTTTCACCCCTTTTCCATGTGATTAACACTCCCCTTTCTTGCTCTTTGAAACTCTCCCCTCACTGTGTTGATAATCAACTCTCCCAGTTCTGGGTCATTTATTCTTAACCACTGAGGTGGGACTGAGCAGCTGCCAAATGAACTGGAAAGCCATCCCACCTTGGCAGTGAGGAGATTTGAACATGAGAATTTCCAGGAGCACTCCATGGTCTGCTCCACTCTAACCACATTTCTCACTGGAACAGATGAGCCAGATATGCAAACATGAGTTGCAAAAACTGGCTCCTAGGAGTCACAGATTTCTTTGTGTTTTTGTCTTTTTCGTTTCTCTCCTCTCTCCTTTCTCACCCTCTCCCTCTCTCCTCCTCCCCTCTTCCTCCTCATCCTCTTCTTCCACCTTCTTCATCTTCATTCTCTTTTCTGGAAAGGGAGCATTGCAATTGAGAATAGATCCTGCTACTCAGCCTCTAGGCGTGATGATGTGCACCTGTAGCCCAGCCATATGGGAGACTGAGGCAGGAGGATCACTTGAGCTTGGGAGTTTGAGACCATCCTGGGAGACAAAATGAGGCCCCAATCTTAAGATAAAGAAAAGAAAAGGAAAAAGAAAATTTTTTCACTCTAGAAAACAAAAGTTATGGTCAGAGAAAAAATAAACACATTTGGAATGTGATACTAGGAATATATCTACTGGAAGGAATGAAGCACTTATACTCTAGTAGATAATCTTTGACTTAATACAAAGTATTGATAAGAATATTAGACATTAGTTTACAATGATAAATGTATCTCGTAAGAATGGAATAAAACCATGTCTGATGCCTTTTAACTCTGAAAGGCTGATTATCCTGAGCAATTGTTGAGGGGCAGCAGCTGATCGGGACTGACCACATCCCAAAAGGTTGTCCCACACCATGACACTGTGATGTGAGAATGCAGAAGACAAACGCTTTCTCTTCACCTAAAGAAAACAGAGTAAGACAATATCCTGGTATGATGTTGGTTATTAAAATCTATTTGTTTCAAAACAAAGTGAATACAGATTTTTTTAAAATGTAAAGTTAATGGAATTAGGATGAAGAATGCTTTCCAGATTTTAATAGAACACTTGGCAAGGTGAAAGGCATTGTATAGGACAAGAAGAGCAGGACTTTATTTATGGCCCTTCACTAAATTGTTACGGAGTTTCCCCAGTCCTTTCCCATTCATAAAGCAGGAGTGAAGTACCTGCTTGGGCCTATGTTAGGTGTTATTTCATAGAAAGAATAAAATGAGAGACAAGAAATTTTCCCACCTCTCCCCACTGGAGACTGAAACCAGGGAGTGCTGAGCTTTGTCCACAGCCCCTCCTTTTTTCCAGTCCTGGGTTCATTTCCAGGGTTCTCTACTACTGAGCTACACCCCCAGCCCCATTCCCTTTGGTTTTTGAGAGAGGATCTCTCCAAATTGCCCAGGTTGGGCTGCAACTCGTGATCTCCTGTCTCAGCTTCCTCCAGTGCTAGGATTTCAGATGTGCATCACTGCACCTGCCTCTCTCTCTCTCTCTCTCTCTCTCTCTCTCTCTCTCTCTCTCTCTCTCTC